TATTACTATGACCTTCCCTCTTAGAACTGCTGTTGCTGCATCCCATAAGTTCTGGTGTGGTGCATTTCCACTTTCATTTGTCTCAGGATCTTTTTTAGACCCTTTTGACTTCTTCTTTGACCCATTGATTGGTCAGGAGTATGTTGTTTAATCTCCACATATTTGTGAATTCTCCAACTTTCTTCTTGAAATTTCTAGTTTCATATCACTGTGGTCAGTAAAGCTGCTTGATATGATTTTAATCTTAAATTTATTAAGACTTGTTTTGTGGCCTAACATATGATCTATCTTTAAGAATGTTCTATGTGTACTTGGGAAGCATGTGTACTTTGTTGCTTTTGAACTAAATGTTCTGTATATGTTTGTTGAGTTCATTTGGTCTAACGTGTTATTTAAGGCCAGTGTTTCCTAACTGATTTTCTGTCTGGATGTTCAACCGATTGATGAAAGTGGGTATAAAGTTCCCTAATATTATTATATTGCTGTTATTTTCTCTCTTTAGGTCTACTGATATTTACCTTACATTTAGGTGCTGCTATTTTGGGTGCATAGATATTTACAAATGTTATATCCTTTTGTTGGACTGACTTGTTTATCATTATGTAATGATATTCTTTGTCTCTTATTATAGTCTTTGTCTCAAAGTCTATTTTGTCTGATAGTTGCATTTTTATCCACTAACAATAAACTATCTGAAAAGGAAATTTAAAAAAATCCCATGTATAGTAGTATCAAAAAGAATAAAATAGTTAAATATAAATTTACAAAAAAGGTGAAAGACCTGTACATTCAAAACTAAAATATTGATGAAAGAATTTAAGGAAGAGACAAATAAATGGAAAATTATCCTGTGTTCATGGACTAGAAGACTTAATATTATTAAAATGTCCATAGTACGCAGAGCAATTAATGGATTCAGTGTAATCCCTATCAAAATTCCAAATATATTTTTATAGAAATAGAAAAAAAATCCTAAAATTTCTGTGAAACTACAAAAGACCCTGAATAGCCAGAACAACCTTGAGCAAGACAAATAATGCTGGAGGCATTACACGTCCTGATTTAAAATTATATTGTAAAGCAATAGTAATCAAAACAGTATGGTACTGGTGAAAAAACAGACCCATACAGTAATGGAACAGAATAGAGAGCCCTAAAATAAACCTGTGCATATGTGGTCAGCTATCTTCAACAGAGGCATAAAAATACACAAAGACAAAAGGATAGTTCCAATAAATGGAGCTGGGAAAACTGGGTATTTATAGGCAAAATAATGAAATTGGATGCTGACTTTATACCATGCACAAAAATCAACTTGAATTAAACTGAAAACTTATGTAAGACCTTCAACCATAAAACTCATAGAAAACATAGAGGAAACTGACTTAACATTGGCATTGGCGATAAGTTTTGGATTTGACACTGAAAGCACAGGAAACCAAAGCAAAACAAAAAAACAAAAGAAAAAGAAAAACAAACAAAGGGGACTACATGAAACTAAAAAGTTTCTGTACAGCAAAGGAGATAGCAAAATGACAAGACAATCTATGGAATGGGAAAAATACTTGGAAATCATCTATCTGATAAGAGGTTAATATTCAAAATATGTAAGGAACTCATACAACTCAATAGCAAAGAGCCAATTAACCCAATAAAAAAATCAGCAGAGGAACTGAATAGACATTTCCCCAAAGAATATATACAAATGGTCAATGGGTACTTGAAAGGGTGTTCAACATCACTAATTATATGGGAAATGCAAGTCAAAACCTCAGTATCACAATATTCTCAGATCTATTAGAACTGATAGAAAGTTTTCAAAAGGTATCAAGTATTGGTAAGAATATGGAGAAAAAGGAACCCTTGTACATTGTTAATGGGAGTGTGAATTGGGAGAGACATTATGAAAAACACTATGAGCTTCCTCAAACATAAAAAAAAGAAGTACTGTATGATCTAGCAATGCTACTTCTGGGTATATATCCCAGGGAAATAAAATCACTGACTCAAAGAGATACCTGCACCCCCATGCTCACCGTAGCATTATTTACAACAGCTAGGATATGGAGAAAGTTTAAGTGTCCGTTGATAAGTGAATGGATAAAGACAATGTAACATATATAAACATAAAAATGGATTAGATATGTGATGGAATATTGTATATATTGTGCTTTTGAAAGGTTCCATGGGAGATGGGATATTTATATACATACACACACAAACACACGACAGAATATTACTCAGTCAAATATGGTCAATCATGTTATTTGCAAAAACATGAATGAGCCTGGAAGACATTATACTACGTGAAATAAGCCAGACACAGAAAGACAAATACTGATGGTCTTGTTTACATGTGGAATCTAAAAATGTCAAACTCATAGAAATAGAGCAAAGTGGTGATAATCAGGGCTTGGGGAATGGCAAAATTGGGGAGATGCTGGCTAAAGGATACAAACTTTCTGTTATAAAATTGTTAAGTTTTGGGGACCTAATGTATAGTATGGTGACTACAGTTAATAAGAATGTATTGCATACCTGAAATTTGCAAAAAGAGTAGATCCAGAGTGTTTTAAGCCACACACACACACACACACACACACACACACACACACACACACACACACACAAAAGGTAATGGGTATGTTAATTAGCTTGATTTTGGTTATCATTTTAATATGTATGCATCTGTCAAAATTGTTGTACACCTTAAAAAATATCAAGTTTTTTCAAACTTTCAATGCTAGTTTAATTAATTTAAAAACCCTTCAGTTTGGGGAATCACATTTAAGTAAAATGTGTATATCCTGCTATTTTTTCTTCTATACCCTGCTAACTTCAGAGTAAGATCTCATTTACCAAACCTCTTGCAAGTTAATTTTGCAAGAACTACTGCTCTTTGAAAACCCACTATTTTTAACCAGGCATAACTCTGGCACCAAGTCCCCTTATGGCTATAACTTTCCATTCTATGAAACATTTTTTTCCCCCAAGTTCTAGTTTCAACACGCTTTTGAAAGGCTCAAATAACTCAGAAACCCAGAAACTTCATAAAGCCTTTTCCTGGCCATGCTGACCAAATGGGGAGAGAGCTGGAGGCAACCACACAAGAAGGACCCCAGGACTGCAGCCACCTCTCTGTCGGCGTCAGCATCTCCCCTCTCAGCTAACGGTCTCTCTGAAGAATGCACCAATGAGAGTCACTTTGTAAAACATGATTTTCCATGTTTGCTAATTGATACTTCTGGAATGAAAACAGTTTCTGTCATTCATTTGGCTTCCTCTTGAGATAAGCCACGTCTCTCTTCATCTTACATCCAAGAATGGTGTGGGGAGAAAGCTATGGTCTAACAACTCCACGAGTCAAACTTCTTCTTACAGAAGAGAGAACGTGTTTACCAAAAACAAGCTGTTCTCAGCACCAAGGGGTTATGGGAGTAATCTGGTGATACGCCGCCTCCCACCTCCCACCTAGGCAGTCAGCAGTATTTGTGGAGTACTTCATTGTGGAAGCACTGGCCAGTGGACAACACAGACAAAGTCCTTGTTCTCATGAAGATTATAGTCTATCACAGAAGGTAATAATTTTATATAACTTTATTTACTGACATACATCATAATTTGCCCTAAATAAAATAAATATGAGAGAATGAATAAACATTTTTGTTTCGGGCCTTTGTAATGATGGAATGGACTCCACTTCAGTTTGGGCCGCCTGACTTCTCTCTGCTTCTCCATGGTCATGGAAACAGGCCTCTCATTTACCAAACCTCTTGCAAAATACACTTTATTGATCACAAAGGGCCTGCATAACAGAATGCAGATGGATGAATCTGCATTTTCTTGATTCCTAGACCAAGACGTCAAACTGGAGATCCTATGGACTGATTGGTAACGCACGCAGATGGCTTACGTACCATCAGATGCCATTGGACTCTTCATCACGCCTCCTGAACACTTGCTAATAAAACAGAACTAAGCATAAAATTAAACATGGAGAAATAGATCATCTCTATGTGTCTTTTGGAGTTAAACAAGTCCTGTGAAGAGGCTTGAAATTCAAAGGTGGGAAATTTATTTTAGCATCACAGAATGTAACATGTTAAGTCGGGTGTTCAGATAACTCCAGTTAGTCTGTTATACTGAAACAATACAACTAAATGCCCATTTGTTCACTCACTTGCTCACTTGTTCCTTCCACAAGCACTTTTTACCTGCCTCTGGTGGGCCAGAATCTATCTATACAGGCACTGCTAGCAGAACCACAGATAATATTTGGTCCATAGCTTGAAGCATCTTGCCAACTGGAGAGGGTGGCAAACATAAACGCATAGGGTGCAACTGGGCATTATATGTGTGGGATCTGAGGTTTAAGAGAGGCCTCAGAAAGAAAATGAGGCTGTATGTTGATCTTTGAAAGCTCTGGGGGAGTTTTTCCAGGGGCGGGTAGGGGCTGGGGGAAAGCATTGCAGAAAGACGGAGCAGCAGCATTAGGTGCTTGAGAAACCGAGCAGGTTAGCATGACTGCAGCATGGGGCACGTCCAGGACTTCAGCCGGAAGGGTGGCCAGGGAGGAATCCATCAGGTGTAAGAAGCGGCTCCCGAGGTAACAAGGGCCTACTGTGTACATCTGGCTAAAGAGTTTTGCAGTATGTTGTCTGAAAGACCTCTTAGACATGAGGACGTTTGTGGAAGTGAATTGATTTTTTTCCCTCTTTGCATAAGCATCAGGCTGTCTGGGTTTTCTGTTTTGTTCCCACGTGTACCCACTTTCTGCCACGTCCTAATGCCGTCTTACTGCTCTCGTTTCATGGTCTCGACGGTAACCTTCCCAAGCAGGTCAGAAGCACTGCTGCAGGAAGGAAACGCACACAAGGAGCTCTGTACCGTAGCCGAGAGAAAGCTCAGTGTGGGACTGCCCACCTGGCAGCGTTCCTGGTGCTGAAATCAGTGTGAATTTGCCAAACTTTTCACAAAGAAATTGAAAAACATCAGAATTTACGTAACTTGGCTTTGAGCAACATTTCTTCTTTGGTGAGTGTTTAGCTTCCCTTCTCTGTCTGGTGTAAAGACATGTGTCCGTCTGAATCCAGCCCAGACGGGGCCCCACGCCTTGCGCCTGCCCCTCCCCGTGGCACTGTGGTACATTTCCTAACTGATCCCGGCTCTCACTTGGTCAGTGCGAATGCGCCGGTGGACGGACCTACGCAGCCACCGCCGACGGGAGCAGCAGAGACCTCTACATCTTTTGTCTGAATGTGAGCCCCACAGGTAATTAAAAATGTTTCAGTATCTGCGTTAAAAAACTAAAAAGGGGCAGGGGAAATCAATATTAATAATATATTTTACTTAACCAAATAGATTCAAAATATTATCATTTCAAAATGGAATCAATATAAACATTATTAAATCCTTACTCTCATATTTTCACACTAAGTCTTTGGAATCTGATGTGCAGTTTTATGTGTATAAACCCATCTTCATACACACATTTCCAGCATTCTAGAGCCACGTGGGTATAGTAGCTACTCTACCGGACAGCTTGGGTCCAGATTTTTACCTCGGGTCCCACAGGGGAAACTGAGGGAATGGGCTCAGAGAAGTTCCTCTTCCTTGGGTGGCCAAGCCCCCTACGCGCTGAGGAGGGGTCTGAGTTGGGAGGAGGCTGGCGAAAGCCCCACTTCAGGCTGCCTCCCCAGAGCATATCCTCTGGGCAGTGGGAACTGCCCTCTCAAAAGGGGCCATTGACCGAGTCCATAAATATTATCACCCATTTCCTATAGCTATTATAAAGGAAAGTATATGAACAAAGTGAAAAACATTCTTTTAATACAGATTTTGCTTTCTTTTAAGTAACTGCAAGTTGAATATTATAAGAGGACTACACACAGAACACTGTATTTAGAGAAGATACTCAGAAGAGACTGGACTCCAGAATGTTAGGATTTTAGGAGACTTTGGGGCCACGATTATATATTTGGAAACTGAGACCCACAGAATTTAAGGGGTTTTGCCAGCCAACCGCTGGATGGGGGGGTGGGGGGCAGCGCCAGATCTAAAACTCGCTTCTTCCAAATCCTTAGCCCGCTGCAGACACCTCGGTTCTCTATCACGAGGAAACCCACCATGAGGAATGAACGAATATACAACTAACTTGAAGGCTGCGTCTACGTATCACGGAGCGGTAACCCAGACACCATGTGGGTAGCTTCATCTACGGGAACAAATAAATCAATTCTTAACATGAATTTTTTTTCTGAGTGTGGGGGCGGAGGTGGGTACTGGCTCCCTTCCTCAAACGTGCTTGTTTTTATCTTGATCAATTTACCAAGCAGCAAAGTAAATTTACTAATTTACTAATTTACTTTGCTCTACTCTATGGAGGGGAAGAAAAAGAGAGAGAGAGAGAGAAAGTATATACAAAGAAAGCGGAACAAAGAACAAGGGCAAATATTTGGATACATGAAGCCAAATAAAACTGTCATGCGAAGGCTGGGCCTGAATTACAGCCAGATGGTGGCCCCTCCACGCACCTCAGTTCTCCGGACACGTGACCTTGACAGCACCCCCCCGCCCCAAAACCCAAGAGCTCAAGCGTCTAAGATGGGTTTGACATCGCCTCCCAGCTCTAGGGTGCAGGAAAGTTTCTGGTTCTGGGTGATTTTTAAAGGGGAAAAAATATATGCGGATGATTTAATTACCAACTCTTGAACCGATTTATTTTCTGCACCAACAGCAAAGTCATACAAGCCGGTGACACAGGTCAAGTGATTCCTCATTAAATGTGGGAGATGAAGAGGAGAAGGGGGAAACAAAGCCCTGACTTCATCTTATGGCTCCAAGCCAGGCTGCAAAGAAGGAATCTGTGAAATTCAAGGTCTTTGAGTCTATTATTTCTGTTTGCTGTTTTCTGAAACAAGACCTGAGCAAAATCAATTCAGGTTCAGAAAGAATATTACTTTAATTTTCTACATAAAATTGTCAGGAAGTCTGAGTTAGAAGAGTAGAAAAGACAGATGACTATCACCCAAGCAGAAATTAAATGAATAAATTAAATGAAGTGAAGGACATTTATATTACCAAAGCTCTGGTCATGAGACAAAACACATCGTTTGGCACAAACTCATAGGGGTTTAAAAAAAAAACAATCTAGCAACACAAACGATGAGGTAATACCCCTGAAAATAAACTCTCCCTTGACGGTTGGAAAACAGTGCAGGCACAATCAGAGAGAATTAATTTTATTTTGATGCAACTGTATCCTTGAAGCTTTTAATTAGACTTCAGCCTAGAACATGTGATTTTCATAAAAAATTTAACTTGTATGTTCCCTTCCTCAAGTAACTGACATACGATTTTTGAAAAATGGGGAAGCTCTTGGGAAAGTCATTCTGCCTAACAATGATGAAATACTGACTTTCTTGTCCTACTTCCAAAGTGGGTTTTCCACTAGCCATCTTCAATTTGCCTCTCATTTAATCTTTACCAGATGTCAAAAGCACAGAAAGGAATCCAAAGAAGTTGGTGATTGCACTTCTGTGAGTGTTCGCCGCAAATATTCAAGTGGTTCATAGCCTGGTAGGACTATTTCATTGATATTAAGCTTTGGGCATTTGAAGGGATTTTGGTTTTTACTCTTCAGTTTTTTGCACTTCCTTCTTGGTCAGCAGATGCCCTTTCAGAGCTTGTTCAGGCTGCACGGCTGGCATGGTGAGAATCAGTCAAGATAGGCTACGGCTGTTCTGTGCTACAGACAGATGTTTCTTTGACACTCCCCTTACCAGGTAAATGCAATTCACCCTCTGGGTTGAGAGGCAGATGAAGTTGTTTCTGCAACAAAATTCAATGCAACAAAATTGTTGAGTGCTTACTCTGTGACAGGTGCATGCTAGATGCTGTGTGCATGACTGCCCACATGCTCTACGTGGTAAGCTTGTTACCATCTGAAGCTAAAATAGGTCTATTTCTCATCGTTCTTTTTTGGGGGAGGGACCTATACTAACTATATTCCTCTTAAATATACAGAATTCATGGGCTACACAATTTGGGCAGGGCTATCTTTTCCTGGTTAGTAGTTACTCTGAATTTATGCTTCCGAAATAAAAAATTACCTCCTCTGTGCCTCATTCCCTCCCAATTTTGCTCTCTAGTGACAAGAGCTAGTCTGATCCATAACCTTTCAGAGCCGGAAGGATCTCACAGCTCATATTGTCCAATGTTCTCATTTTGGATATAAAGGGATGGAGTCCTGAGATGTTCAGTTCAGTAAACAATTAAATGTTTATTTAAGCCTCTCCTTGGGGCCAGTGACTGTGCCTGCACCCGCCGCAGTGCACGTGAGGCAAGATTCCTTCCATGGTTGTTTTGCTGGAATATAATTATAAGTAGGTAGCTAGACACTCTGAGTGCAGACAGAGAGGAGTGCTTAGGGTGTTATAGTGCTCAGGTTAAGGACAGGGGGGAGGGCTTCTTGGAGATGATATCTTGGCCAAGTTACAAAGGATGAGATGGAATTGGCAAGGTAAGAGTTGTGAGGAGAGGCAGAGACACTGCAGGGAAAGGAATGAGCAGAGATGTGAATAGACAGCGTGGTGTGAGTGCACGAGTGTGAACTACAAGAAATTCAGGTTGCTGGGAAGACAGTGTGAGGCCACGGGGGATGAGTCTGAAAAGCATGCTGAGGTTTTAGATTTGGCCCTGCAGGGCTCAGTGGGTGGCAATGAAGGTGGGACGATAGCTGGGTGGGTGGCAATGAAGAATTCCAAGTTGAGACTTGATGAGATGGCATTTTAGCTGGATCACCCTAGGGACCCTCTGGAAGATGGGTCTGAGGACAATGAGGGGTGGGAGGACTTGTGAGTTTAGAGCCCTGGTCTCTTCCTTCTTGGCCCAGTGTTCCACCTACCACACCACGTGGCCTCCACGGACTCTGCCAGAAACAAATGCCTTGAGAATCCTTGGTCGTGTGGACATCTGCTAGTTTTGCATGAAGGATATCAATCCCTTTATTTGGTGGTAATGACACTTTAATTTCCTTGTTGGGGAACCATCCCCCCAAATCAGTTTGATCTTTCAAGGAAGGCTGGCCCCTGCCCCAGGCTCTAAGGTTGGTACTCCAAGCAAATCAATGGTAATTTCTTATTCTCCCAGGAAAGTGATTCACTCAGTGACAGACATGTGACCTAGACCAGGCCAATGAGACCCAGTTCTGCCATGGAGTATTCAGCTATGTGAGTTCCTCTGTCGGCTTAAGACCATGTCATCAGCTATTGGAATTCCTACAAATACATCAAGAAACATATCTGAACGCTGTCTACGGCACAGTCATTATTTTAGGATAGACTCTACATAGACATTCCAAGTGCTGTGGCATGGTTGTAGACCAGCATGTAAGCGTGGGGACTTCTATCTAATGGATGACTGTTTTCTACTTTGGCCAATCCTGAAAGCCAGCCTTGATCTCCAGACCCAAATGACCACAGCGACATACACTGATTAAAAGATCAACCTTACAGAATCCCTGACTTCCTTGGCTCGGAGGGATGGGTCGGTAAAACATACAAGAGTGAGGCTTAGGGGACCTCAACGGCGGGTCGCCTTTTCTGGGTGGTGATCTGTGCCTCTCTTCCTACCTGAATCACAGGCTGAGGGGGCCCTCCATTGTCACAGGCTGATGGAAGCGGTGGCTGAATGAGCCCTGTTCTCAGTCCTTCTACTTCTAAGATCTCAGTTGTTAGAGATCTTAAGGAGCAGAGCGTTGTTTGGCTCAGCAGGGGCTGAGTTTTCTCATTCAGATCAGTTCAGGCAGAACTGATTGCCCGGCAAGGGTTTTGGGGGATATGAAGACCAGCAGGGGCATGACCAGTGCCAGCCAAGACTCTGAGGAAGCCCAATAAAATGAGGTCTGCCTGTACTCAGAAACTGTCTTTTCGCCTACCCACTGACTGCCACAGGTTTACTAGAGAAACATTTGGAAAACCCAGTTAGGCATAAAGAAGAATAAAAATGTTGCCACAGTCCCACTATCCAGAGCTGACTACTGTGAACAATCTTTGTGTGCTGACTTCTAGGCTTTTTTCCATGCAAATGTCTGTATGTGTACCTATAAATGCATGAGCCCATAGAGACCGACACGCAGAGCAGAGCGTTGGTGACCGATCTTGCTGTCTGTCTCTTAGGCCCTGGCTTTTTCCACTGTGCGGTGTATGTCGGGCATTTCCCTCACGTGCAAAGCATTCTTAGGGAGGCTGGATTAACCCCCTGACAGGTCCAAGATGGCCTCATCTGACTCCCACATTTCTGAGTGTGTGCCAGCTGCCGGAAAGCATTTTCTCTTGGCCACTATTCCAGGGGAACGTTTGCCGGTTGCTTCTTTGTCCTCCTCCTGCAGCAGACACACCATCCATTGACCCCAGGGGCAAGGACGAACCCTAGGGACCGGAGGATGGGGAAGCCCCTCAACTAACTCCAAAAATGTATGCAACGCAAGTAGCAGGACCATTCATATTACTGTCATCGTTGACAGTGACTCGAATATAAATCTGATCTCACCGTGCAACCCTTGCTTAAAAATGCTCCTTGGCTGCCCAGTGTTTTTAGGATAAGTACCTAAATCCTTTTCAGCGGGGGAAACTCCCTGGCACCGTCTCCCCCTCCTGTCCCTGCGGTCTGGCCTTTCTCCCTCCTAGCACTGCGGGTCTCTCTTGGGCCTTAGGCCCTCTCTTCTGACCACTCTTCCCAATCCTCTTTGACTGCTTAAACTCCTAACCATGCTTCAGCCCCGGCTCCATCACCCCGCCTTCAGGGAAGTCACCCTCAGGATCTGGGTGGCCTCCCCTGTTTTTGACACTTGCAGCCCCCCTTCCCTGTATTCACTGCCCCTCATCATATTTGCAAATGCACATCAGCCTATGTGGTTGCTTGCCTGAATCTCTGTCTCTCCTGGAAGAGTACGAACCCCCCGAGGGCAGCGATAATGCTTGTTCCCTGGGTATGCCTTCGTGCCTCGGTTAGTGCTGAGCATATAGTAAGTTCTCAATAAATCCATGAAGGGAGGAATAATGAGATCATCATGTCATGGTGTGGGGGGACGGGAAGGGGGGGCACACAAGAGGAACCAGTCATGCTGTCTCCCTTTCTCCTCGCCTCCCTCTCCTGCCACCAACTCCACTGGCTTCCCCAGCACCTCTTCTCCCCCTGCAAAGCCTGTAAAAATGGATTTCAAACCTCTTTATCCTGCTTCCTTCTTCAATTTCGCTGCTAGAGATAGGAGGCAGGGGCAAGAAGAGTCAGGACCACAGGTTTCACTTCCAAAACACACAGGTGCTCCACACTGTCCCGAAGGCCCTGAGCCCCCCGAGCAAGCGGAGCCCTTACACAGGGACCCCGCGGAGATGCGGTGGCCGCTCCAAACCCGTCATGAAGTGAATGTTGCAATAGAGGGAGTCAAGTGATTTTTTTTTCTTTAGCATATAAAAGTTATATTTACACCACCCTGAAGTCTATTAAGTATGTCATAGCATTGTGTCTAAAAAAAAACAAAACAAGGTACATACCTTAATTTAAAGGTATGTATTGCTAAAAAATGCTAACCAACATCTGACAACATCTGATTGGTTACACTCATCGGGTCATAATCACCCATCACAGATCGCTATAACAAATACAATAATAATGAAAAAGTTTGAAATGTTGTGAGAATTGCCAAATGTGACACACAGACATGAAGTATGCTGTTACATAAATGGCACCCATAGATTTACTTGATGCCGGGTTGCTACAAACTTTCAGTTTGTAAGACATGCAATACCTGGGAAGTGCAGTAAAGCAAAGCCCAATAAAATGAGGTCTGCCTGTACTCGGAAAATTAACCACGTCGGGGAGGCAGATGAAGGCTCTGATGTGAGAAACCAGCCAACTTGATTCCTTCAACCCAGTACAGCTCATTTTTATGTAACTCACCAAGTCAGAAATTAACAGGCAGAAAAGTTACAGTTTTCCTGCTGTGTGTCTGGAGCTCTGGTTTTCTGCTCTTCCCGTTGGAGATGTGGCGGCTCTGACTGTGGTGAGGACGCCCCTGCACAGCACCTCCTTGCAGGGCGCAGGATTTCCCACCCACCACCCACGGGACAGTGCAGCCAACCCGCCCACTCAAAAGCGTGTTTCCACCTTTTGCTGCAGAATCTCAGCTTGAATCTGTGCTTCTGAAGTGTGTCCTGCCCCGTTACTAAGACGGCTCGCATCTTCCATAACGACCAAGCCTCTGTCATGACTTTACGTAGTCACTTCTGGTCTCAGAAGTCACCGATGTTTCTTTAGAGAGGAAAAATCTAAGCTCTTTGCCAGAAAGGCCCTCTGGCCCGGGCCTCCTCTCCCTCCCAGAAGGCCACTGTGCAGAGAAGTTCTGCTGTGACACACACTGTGCCCCAGCTGCTTTGCTGTTTGGGTGTCAGGTGGTGCTGTGCACCCTGCCCAGCATGCCTGCCCGCCTCTCTCCGTACCCCATCACCCTCCCCACCCCTTCCTCTGGGGCACAGCACAGCCCTGACCCCCCCCCCCTACTCTTTCTCAGTTACCTTGAGCTAAAGCCATCAGCCCCTGCTGTGTCATTTGCGTGGCCTTTCAGCGGCATTCAGTGCCATCGCTGTCCTCTCCGGTGCCCTTCATCTCTGTGGTGACCCACCTGTCCTTCTCTGCCTCCTCTGTGGATACTTCTTCAACCCAGACATCAAAGGCAGCACTTCCCCAAGTGGGGCTCCAGGCCCTCTCCTCTCATTTCTCACCT